TCAGTGTTGTCACTGATAACTTCATCATGCCATTGTTAATTTGAATTACATTTATTGCTGGTGGTTAGACTTTTAGAATCGCTATTTTGGAAGAGTAATGGCAGAATCAGGCTAACAGATAATAAAATGAATGTTGTCTCCATGAATCTGAAGTTTACTTTGAAATGTAGACCCAGACCAGATTGCTAGGTATAAATATGCACTAAAACCTTAGCATACAGATCCATGTGAGACATCTATCAATAGATTTTATCCTGTACAAAACCTAAATTTTACTCAGCAATAGAACTGATGAGAGCTATTTATTCTCTATTGCTTGAACTATAATGAATAGCCAAAAGTTTAAAAAGCACATTACATTGATATTATATTTCCTTAGTCCAAAGGATGCCTCATTAGTCAATTCATCAAACAAGGTAGTGTTGATAAAACTTTCTGTAGTGTTTACCACCTCTTCTGAAAGGCCCTTCTGGAGTAGAAATTTGGAGATAAGGCTGTTGAACCTGTTCTCTGTGGTAGATTGTGGTTCTCCAGATGGAAAAGGACTGTTGGTTGTGACATTTAACTCCTCTGGATCAAGACAGAAGCCTTCAGCTGTTCTCTCAAAAACAACATCAGTTAAATCAAGACCAGCTACAGAGGATGGGGCAGCACAAGGAATATCCCTCACAAGCCTATAATTTTCCATCCATTCTTTCAGCCATTCAATCCGGCAGTCACACTCCCAAGGGTTCCGGAAAAGGTAGAGTCTTCCTATAAAGTAGACAGGTTGGAAGACTGAGAAAGGCAAGGTGGTTAAGTTGTTGCTGTTCAAGTGCAAAGACACCAAGCTTGTGAGGTTTTCAAAAGCACCTTCTTCAATATAGCTTATCCTATTTCTGTCCAAATACAAAACCTCCAGTTCAAATTGGTCCCGGAACCAAGTATTGGAGACATTCCTCAGAAAGTTACCACCAATATTAAGCATTTTGAGACGCCGCAGACCATCAAAGGAGTTCTCAGGGAGGTCACTGATAAAGTTGTCATTTAAATAAAGGTACTCCATTTTCTGACAATCTTGAAAAGCTCTGTCATGAATTACATTGATTCTGTTGTCTTGCAGATTGAGATATTTCAATCGGATCAGACCCAGGAGAGAATTATATGCCACAGCTTCTATCTTGTTTTTCTCCAGATAAACATGGGTCAAATTCTCCATCCCTCTTATAGCTCCTGGAATCCTTCGGAAGTTGTTCTGGAAGCAAAAGAGTTCCCGAAGGGCTGGGAGCTCTATAAAAATCCTGTCTGGAATGTTGAACAGGTTGCAGTCTGCTAAATCTAGTCTCATTAGTCTTTTGAGAGAAGTAAAAGTCCTCGTATGCAGATACCGAATATATTCATTATGAGCCATTTTTAGCTCAGTCAAGCTAGCTAGCCCTTTGAAAGCTCCAGGGGTGATAAAGGATATGTTGTTATGGCTTAATGAGAGCGATTTGAGGGATGGGAGGGTACCAAATGCCCTCTCAGCAAGGAATTTGATGCTATTCTTATCTAGGTTAATAGAATAGGCCTCACAGGGAAACTCACTGGGAATCTGTGTGAGACCAGCACGGTCACAAAGGATGGAGCAACTCCTCTCTTGAGTGCAGACACAACTGGCGGGACAGGAGCGGACACAGGCCCACACAGAATAGGCAGGCGGGATGCAAAGTAAGACTGGCAAATGAAGGGAGTAACATTTATCCACAAAGAAGGAGAGAGAGAGAGAGAGAGAGAAACACACAGATTAGTGAACACTAGCAATATCAAAACACAAAATTCTGAATTATTCATTTACTGTTACTCACAGGATCCTGTTAAGTCTGAACAATCAAACTATTTTAATTTTTAAAAAAACAACACAAATGTTTTGGCATGATACTTTCTATATCAAGTCCAATATTTCTGAGATGCTTCTGATAGAAATAATTTGCCTGTTTTTAAAAAAACAAAATCAGGGAGATTTTCCATCCACTGGCAGCAATTTTTCTCTTTGGCCATGAGCCATTTGTACAGGATGTAGCTGAAATTAAGCCTGAGATTGTAGAGAGCTGGAAAAAGAACAAGGAAGCTTTATCATGAGTACCCTTGGCTAAATCCAATTGTTAGCCCCAAATGGAGTGGGCCCATTAAATGAATGGCACTCAACACTTACGTAAGTCTCATTGATTCAGTAGGTCTGCTCTAGTTGAGACTAACAATTGGATTTAGCCCCATGGAAACAAGCTAACCATATAATAATGAAAGATTGGGATGGTTAGCTGTGGATGGTTAAGGGACTGCATTGGCCTCCATGGAGACCCAGGGGAATATATAAGGTCCTGTTCTGTTTTGTTTTCATCTTTCTTTTCTCTTTTCCCCTGGAGGCAAGGACAATATAGAAGAGTAATTTGAGCAGAAAAAAATGTAGAAGTATATGTCCCTACAGGCTGTTCTCAAAGGTATCATACATCGTTTCATCCCCACATGCTGTATTCACATTGGCCAGAGAAGGAATACCTTCAGTCTTGTATGAAGCATCTTTTACCACAGTTGGTGTGGTCCATTCATATATTTTATATTTACAAAGTGAATTGTGAATGGTTTTAGGATATGAATACTTAATCTGGTGAAATAGATCTTAGTAATGTACTCTTGTTTAACAGCATAGGAGATGCCGTGCTAAAGCACACAAATCCACCTTGTCTCTCATAGGTTTTGCTCTTGCCGCAAGAATTTCCACAACCAGGAATAGAAATGCCAGAATGAAAAATGGGGGGGGTGGGGACCTGTACTTTTAATGGTTGTGTAGAAAGGGAATTTCAGCACCTGCTGAAATTACTGCTTCTCCCCAACCATTAAAGGTTCAGGAGCCCTTTCCACTTTTCAATCTGCCAACCTAACCAGGAAGGTTCACTGGTTGGTTGCAATCTACGGTAATTTCTGCCACCTGTGATTTAAGCAACCAGCTATCTCAGTGACACACTTTCTGCCAAAAACATCAGACAGATCCTGACATAATTTTTGTCACGAAAAGAACATTTTATCATCTCTGTTAGTGGAGATACAGTCATGTCCGAATTAGTTATCCTTCTGTCATAAGCCCACTGGTAGGTACTATATTTGAAGTTACTTGTAATCAACTCACACCCTCATAGTGCAGAGGGAATGGAGGAGGGAATCCTTAATAAAGTATGGAACAGTGTTATTAAAAGGTGTACATCTGTGTTTAT